CATTTACTGGTGTTAAAAAAAATTCAAAGTGAAATGTCAGTTAAGTCAACCTGTCAACAAACATGACATGTCCTGGAAGCACAACTGCTGTATGAGCTTTAGTTTTTTACATTGCCATCTAACTTTCCTGCAACCACCTGTAGATTTTGTCAGGGTTACATTAGTTAGAAGGAGAAGACTAACTTTAAACATTCTCTCTTTAGAATGTAGTTGCACTATATGAACTGCATTTATATTGAGCTAAGCTGTGATCACTTTGCGAGGTCTGACTACCTCTAAATGTGGTCAGGCTACATGCATTAATACATTAATGCTAAATGCACTACTGTGCATTTTCTCTTATCCAGGTAAGTTACTTGGACGAAGCTAGCATGTTAATGTCAAGTGTAAATAGGGTTCTATTCATGTGTAAAATGTGAGCAAGATAATGGAATAAATGCAAATAGCAATGGTGGGGGAAGCAATCAGATGATTTACTAAAGTAAAAGTATTTATATCACACTGTGAAAATACTGCACTACCAATAAAATTCCTGTTTTGAAAATGTTACCGGGGTCAAATTAAATAAGGATACTCAGGCACATGAACTCACAAAAGCAAAAGTTCTCAATGCATAAAAATGCCCAACAACAGAAAAATGATACACTACATTATTATCATTCATTCATTATAGTATATTTCACTGTTGTTTCAACTATTTCTCAAAAGTCTGCAACTCATAGTTATTTTTATTATGTTTCAGTCTGACCAAATGATTAAGTCACCGAGAGGCGAAAGTATGAAATGGCAAGGAAATAAAATATACAATAAGAAGTACAAGTACCTCAAAATTCTACTCAAGTCTACTGCCCCTGACCTCACAAGGGAAGAATATCAGTAATAAAAAATTAAACGTGATGCTCCACTGATATCCACAAGTTTGTAAAATCACATTTGTATGCTGAGGCCTCGCTTTCAGAGATTTGTGTGTGCGTGTGTGTGCGTGCGTGCGTGCGTGCATGCGTGTGTACACCTCGTAACCTGCAGGTCACACCTGTTACCTTGCTCAAGCCTGGCTCAGGGCAAGGGGGAGAGGTCAAAGGTCAGGGTGTCACATGACACGTCCTTATTAGATCTGTTTCACAGTTCAAACATACATATGAATTATGTCACCTGAAAAATTACCGATTATTTATATCACTAAATTTCCTGCAAAGTAAACATTTGGGAGATTCATAACAATTATGGGTCTTGTTTCTAATAAGCACACACTGCTTTAAATATCAGGTTACAAAAAAGCTCAGCCTGACTGAAAGAAAGTACATGCACATCTACAGCAGGCTATGTTGAAATGACTGAAGATATGAGAGGAAAAACTCTACAAGCTGGATTGTTCTACTGACCACAGTTAAAAGTAGGGCTACATTCTGTGATATGAAAAAACACAGAGATTTCACCAGGTGACTTGAAAAAATCCATTTGGAAAGAATTACTCATTCTAGCATGATTTGAGTAATTTTGTAGGGGAACAGATCTGCATTAAAAATACAAATCTATTTTATACAAGCTGAAAAGGTCATTTTGGAACCTTTGTCTTGGAAGGCATCCAAAGTATAGTAATTTTTTTTGCCTTGGATGGCCTTGAGGTCTAGCACTGCACTTGTCATACTGATCCTTGTGCTTTTTTAAATAGTCAAGCATATTTGTTGTGTTTCTGGCATCAGTTGACAGTAGCTACAGATAGAGTACGTGTTTTTGGTCAATATCATCCTTTCCGTAATTGAAATATTACAACTGACATTGTGTATATTTTTGCAACCAAATCGGCCTTTCAGTGTTTCTCTCCCTTTCCTCACTTATTTCGCTGTGCCCATGTGGAGCCTGCAGGGCAGCAAACTCTAAGCTTGTAAATAAAAGGTACCCAGTTAAAGTTAAAGCTGAAACAAGACATTGTGCAGCCTGAGTTAAAATCACTTGTTTCAGGAAATGTTTGTGCTAATTAATGCTGAAAGACTTGGCAAAAGTGTGCAGAAGCATTTACTGTGTATTCATTCTAAAACAGCATTATACCTGAGTAAAGGATAATGTTACTTGAAAATCCATGTGACTGTACATTACAGACAAAAAAAACATGTGTGGTGTAGATAAACATCTAGAAGTGGTTTGAAGGACTCAAATCAAAAAATATATCATGTTTCACTTCTGTGGTGATGATAATGAGTGAATGTGTTAAATGCTTTTATGCTGGTATGCACAAGAATAATGATATTTATACATGCAGCGCAAGCTCATTAGCTCAAGCTACAGAATCAGTGTATCGTAACGTATGATTGGTATATTTCAGTAGAACAACTGAAGACGACACTTTAATTTGCAAATAAAAAGGGATCTCATTCATTAATCTTTAATGTACTGTACTTATCTGTGAAATCGACAACTGAGAAACACAACCAACATGTCTCCTGCACTTAAAGACTTTTCCACAGTCTGCAAGTGAGACATATTGATTCTCTGGCTCAGTTGCTCGTGTCCCGACTGAATGCTGAATAACTTCCATACGAATTGGGTGCACTTCTGAGTTTTCCACCATGATTCTGTTTTCAGCCATTTCAATTAAAAAGGTTTCCACTTTAAAGACTACAATTTCCTTTACTAACAACTGACAAAAGAAAATGTATTTGGTAAACAAATAGTAGAAAGCCTCAGTTCAGATGAAGCTCTGGATCACTGATCCGGCAAAGAGAAACAAGCTTCATCCCAGTCCTCAATGTGAAGGGACATTTGAACACCTCACTGCACTGCTGTTCCATGATACGCCTCCAGAACCATAAGTCATCCATGACATTCACAAAAAAAAAAAAAAAGAGTCCACTGTAATGGAAAAGGTAACTTATGTCACATTCATGTCATCTCTTGCAACACACTACAGTGAGAGCATAGATCAATACCACAGCTGGCTATCTGTCATAAGCAAACAGAAAGGAAAAAGTCAAATACAATGTTTCTGACTGTTGTCAAGAAATGACAAATGTCACAAAATATTTTTAGCGTTTCAGAATTTATCCCACAGCTGTCGGACTTTATCTCTATCAGCCAAATACACTGTGAATCACGAAAGCTCTAGCAGCGCTGTGAAACAGAGACTGAAACTGCCACAAAACACCACTATCCTGTTGCTCACCACAAAGAATGTCAGGTATGTTCACAATTCAGAAATATAGGAAACAATCCAACAAATATTTGTCCCACACACCACTGGGGACACGCATCCGCAGGGCGCTTATCGGAAAGCAAATCTGATAGCTGGACTAATCTTTAAACAGGTGAAGAAGTAACAATGTCGGACACCCGCCTTTGTTGACACTGTCAACTCGCGAGTAGTAATCAAAACAAGAGGAAGGAGCAAGTAAAAACAAGAACTGACGACTACAGTCCCACATGAATGCACAAAGAAGAGCTCATTTATTGAGAGCCCAGTGTCTGTCTTCAGTGGGATGAGGTTCCGAGCTGTAATGTTCAACTTTCACTGGCCTGAACTTGTGACACTGAAACAGAAGAATGTCTCACTTTCACAAATGCATTTTTCAAATAAATAACCAAGCTTAGAAGAGGAAAAGACACAGTGGATTTCATTTGACATGCAGTTTTGTTTTGACTGATACTGCAACAGTTTTCCAGCGATGCCCATTTTTCTATCCTCCTCTTGAGCTGCTCATATTTTATTTTTAAAAATGGTCTCTCAACCTAAAATCACTCACTCACATACTTGCATTAACATTTAATTTCTGCCATCGTCTGTATGAGCCTCGATGCTCCATTTTCAGGTGGCAAGAACCAGCAATTTAAAGACAGCAATTTCTTCTGGAAAATTAAGCACAGTACATCTGGCTCGCTCCGTGTGATAATTCGGCGTGGTAGGCTGTCATTTTAGTCTTCTTTACATTGGTGGAGAGGGGCCGCATTTAAAACGCAGCTCAGTGTGTTAAAAGATTTCACGCTGCAATGTAGACAACAGCAGCTAATTTATGTAATACACTTGCTGACACATGTCTCCACTGAGGGGTTCTGAGTAAATGGGCTTGTCATGGGTGATCAGGTTTATAATACAAGACGCTCACATGGTTTTGATGTCAGGAGGTGTACTCTGAAGACAGGTTTTTGATTTAAAAGGAAGACAAGACAAGATGATCCCCTACACCTGTTTACAGGTAGACAAGGGGGCACCATGGATCAACATTTAAAATAAAGAGCTACTCCAAACACATAATAATAAACTGTTTTTTTTCTTCTTAATTTGGCCAACAGCAGTCACCTTCTACTGGACACCAGCTGCTCCATGTGTCAGTAACATTGTGAGAGATTTTGACTTTCAGTGTTGCACATAATTTGCACAGCAATAAAAGTCTGCTCTGTAGGTAGGAGGGTGGCAATTCTGGGAAAAGTGAAACATCCTCTTTCCAGCCGTTTATAACAATAACACATGAAGGCTGAGGGTGTCTCTGGGATGAAGCCGTGTCCCCGTGCAGAGCCCCGGTGGTCCCTGGAGCCCTGTCTGGTCAGCAGTAAGTTGAGCGCTGCTCTCCCATTTAGTAAACACAGACGGGCTGTGTATCGGTGCGGGCTCGTTTCCAAATCAGGTGTATGCCAAACTAACTTTCTGAGCCCAAGCAGCTCGACTTTTCTTTTTAACCGACAGTAGTTTATCTCTCACTCAGTCAACTTGTGACAGCAGCAGCAGCAGCTCCGTTGTGGCGGTCTCATTAGCTATCTGTCCGCTCGGCGAACAACAGCTAGCAAACTTCTCCGCCGTCCTCTCATCCCCCCTCCGGACTGCACAAATGTGACATTTAGCGCCAACATTACCACGCAGAGCCGCTAGCTTCTTCGCACAGACACGGCATTCCCCCCCTCCCGCTGTACAAACTGGGAACTTGGCAGCCGAAAGGAAACTGACGAGACTTTGAGGCTGAGACACTTTCAATTTGGGGGGGAAAGGAAACCTTTAGCTAACTTTTCCATACCTTTCGGACGCCGAATATCTCCCCGTCGACACTACCACTTCTTGGCGGCCATAAATCCCGCTTTTGACAACGTCGTCCACGGCAGGAATAACGAAAAATCCGAGTGTGTTGTAGCTCAAGTACTGCCAGTGCCCGTGATTTCTCTCTGCGTGGCTCCAGCAACAGCCGCTGCAGTTTTTTCCACCAGCCTGGCGCGGGAGCGAGCGCACCGGGGATACTGGGCTGGCCAGAGAGCGGCGGGAGCGCGCAGCTGACAGGGGACGCCAAAGTGACTGTGGAGAGCAGTTTATTCTGCATTAGTAAGACAGTAAAGTTGTGAGATAAAAGCTGCAATACATTGCAATACAGGAAAAATAAATCAATAAAAATAGTACATAATTCCCGCCCCCGAAAGACAGTTAGGTTCAGTAACGTTGGATAGAAATTACAGTCGTCCTCAAATGTATTCATACCCTTCCATTCAAGAAAAGGCAAAATTCACAATAGTCACTCAAATAACTGGAATATGAAAAAAAGTAGTAATAAATAAAAATTTACTAAATTATAATTTGGTGAAATAAGACATTGCTTTTGAATTGTGGTTAAAAGAATAATTTAGAAAAAAGAAAAAGAAAACTGTCCCAGACAAATTAGAGCACTTTGTTGATGAGCAGTGGGCCAAAATCTAAATACCTGTCAACAGGAACAGAAGTCTGATTGAGAGTTACAGAAAACACCTGATTGCAGTGACTGGCTCAAAAGGTTGTTCAACAAAATATTAGTTTACAGGTCCCATCATGCTTGTTTTTTGTTGCTGTTGTTGTTTGTTTGTGTGTTTGTTTAAATAATATTTCTGTTGAACCACAATTCAAAAGCAATGTCATGATTTTCATTATTTTGTTTTTATCTATTACTACTTTTGTCCATTTTAATTTATGTCAGTGGCTGCTGTTTTTTTCCTTCTTTAATGAGATGGTATGAATAAATTTGAAGACGACTGTAAGTGCTTGTATATATACTTTGCACTTGGATATTTTTGGCACGTTTATCATTTTATTGGTATCAGTTGATGTTGGCTCTATTAATTTGTTTTATTTTGCATTTTGTACCCTCTACTGTGTTTGTTTCCGTTTTTGTTGCAATATTCACTCCTTGAATATCCTTTTTTTTTTTTTTTTTTTTTGTTCATCACAGCAAATTTGCAATATAATTAGAGTCATTATTATATAATTAAATATTTTACTATATATGTTCAAATATAGAGGCTAGGTTGAAAAGAAAGTTAGTTTAAAAAGTTGTAAAAAAAAAACAAAAAAACAACTTTATTTATATATTACTTAATGTATCACCAATTTACGAATTGCTTTGACAAACGAAGCAAACAAAAAAGGGTGCACAGAAGGCAAAATAGCAAACAAAGCAAGACAAAACTAAGATTTAATCAAGTTAAAACTAGTCGACAAAAGATGTAAAAACACGCCAATATTAATAAATATAAATAAAATAATATAAGCCAGAAAAATCTCAATAAGCAAGAAAAGGAAAACATCACAAAAAGCACTTCTGTAAAAATGGGTTTTAAGAAGTGATTTAAAAGACGTCACTGACGATCATGCACATTATACTCTGTTCTGCGTATGCTTTGTAGTGTCTGTGTGCCTGTGACATTTGTACATCACTCTGTGTATTTTCTATTAATGGCTGCAAAGTCACATCCACTGATTCTAATTTATGAGGCCACGCTTGAAAGCACAAATTCATTTCAAGTACTCGTAATTATTCAAAACCCTGTTTGTGTGGAAGAGACAGCTTCGATCAGAAGGAAACAAGCGGACGCACAGCACACAGCCACAGCGAGTGTGTGCCTGTGCCATTTATTGAAAAGCGTTGAGTGCAGTCATTGAGTCTTTTCCTGACATAATGCTTCTCATGAGGGATAATGACCGCTGGAAAAAGGGGGAATCCCCTCCTCCTGCTGCCTTCAGGTCCCGTTGGAAATAGCCTAATCCGAATTAAAAGTTGCATGCACATAAAAACACAAGTAAGTGGTAACAGTGAAATGACATTTTTTTAAGCAATTGACCTTAGGACCCAAGGTTTGCAGTGTTAATATGATGTTTGATGTGATAAATAAGTGTAATTCTCTTATATTGTATGTAGAAAAGTGACACCAGTTTGCGGAATCTGTTTGTTGTTCTGGTATTTCCCTGAACAAAATAAAAATCACATAAAGCAACTCATAGATTGTTTTCAGACTGGAGGGACAAGTGACATTTTCAAGCTGGAAACTTGATTTTAGAGTCTCTGAGGAGAACCTGAAGGCAGCGCACTTTGGGAAGAGGAGGAGGAGCTGAGCCAGGGGTTGACATGTGGGAATGACTCAAGTTTTTTTACACATTCCAGGCATTGTTTCCTCCTCCTTGCTGCCCAGGTCCCGGGCACTGAGGCCAAGGATTTTCCAGGGCTTGGGGAGATGGAGTGGATGACGGATAGAGGAAGAGGAAGGATGACTCTCCTTTTCCTCTTTTGTCACGCCTAGGGTAATTCTCTCCCTCTCCAGCTGAATAAATAAATGTTTGGTGGGGTATTGTGTTATACTTTATCGCTCTGGGTCTTGTATAATTTGAGTGCCGTGCTTGTCTGAGCAGCTGCTTGGGAAATTTGAGCTGGCAAAGATGTCGAAAACTGTTTTGACTTCACAGATATTAATGGATCAAAAGGGTCTTAAAGCGAGCAAGTGGCACACAGCATGGGCAAACCAAGACACATCACTACATAAAACTTTCATCGCTATTTATGATACTATCATCAGAGAGCATGTAATCACAAAATACTGATATGCATCACAGCTGGAGCTGAGTCCCAACGATGAGAGAGAGTGAGGCTAAAATGGGGAGGCATGAGTCACTGGAACAGATGTCATGAAGTTTGAACTGATTCACATTTGAGAGTTGAAAATAAGGACATCATCATCCCTGATGGTGGAATAGAAGTAAAACGACACATTACTTTCCCCTTTTATGGAACCAAAAAGAGACAACAGACCGTACAGGATAATATTAATCATCACTTTATACGTCAAACACTGTCTTGCTGCTTTTCTATCTCATATTCGGCCCATTGTACTACCATCATGTGTAGTTCTTATTGTGTTTCTTGTGAACTCAAATGCATTACTTTTGCAGACGGAGGTGCTATCTGTCTCTTGTTAAACCCCTCTACTTTCATAAGAACCAATTTCCTCCAGACATAATAAACAACTGCTATTGGAACATCAGTGGAGAAACAGACCCTACAGCAGATATAAGAAGTCATCTGCCGTGAAGCCGTTCTGCTGCTCACTGCAATAACTGACCTTAATGTCTCATTAGGAAAATAAACAGGGCGTCATAAGAACTCTGTTTCTCACAGCGGTGGAAGAAGTGTTTAGATCCTTTACTTTGGTAAAAAAAAAATTTTTAAAAAATACAAATGCAGTGATTAAAAAGAGCTTCATTACAAGTAAAAGTCCCACATACAAAAAAAAAAATATCCTACTTGTGTGAAAGTTCAGCAAAATGTAGCTCAAGTAAAGTGAGAGGTTGGGTGTGGTCCCTCTGACTAATGTATTATTTTATCTGCCATCATTTTATTACTAATACTGAAAGATCAGTGTGTCTGCAGCTTGTTGCTGTTGTAGTTTCTGCAGGTGGAGATACTTTATATCTAGTTTTATATACAGGGACAGCACATCTGAGGGTTTCATTGCATGATTAATAGGAGAAGAAAGACAAAAAAGCAAACTTCTGATACACAATCTGTTTTCAGGTTTTGGACTTAATCTTTGATATTTGTTGAGATACTTGATCACTTTTGAAATTAGATCATGTGAGGAATTTAAAGGGAAAAGTGACAACTTGGCTGAGTTGTTTTTAACGCTTAGAGATCGGAAATGTGACGATGATCAAAACACTGTATTTGTAGGATGTTAAATGTTAGAATGGAAACCTTTGAATGTATTTTAAAGCTTATCCATTGGGTAAAATCTTCAGCTTAGAAGTAACTTGTAACTGAAGCTGTCGAATACATTAAGTGGAGGGGATGTATAAAGCAGAATAAACTAGAAGTACTCCAGCGAAGTACAAGTACCTCAAAATTGTGCTTAAGTAGAGTAAACATGAGTGAATGTACTTAGTTACTCTCCGCCACTGGTTTCTCTTTCCTGAGCTGATTTGAAAGTTCAGATGATGCAGAGGGGAGTTATTTGAAATCATCTGAACAATGACAAGCTGCTTCCCAGCATAGCAACTTAGGTCAACAGTGTCTGTCAGCAATGACCCTCTGAACTGAACACTGTGGTAAATGAAGCTAGACGTGTGTGCTATTACAAGAAAAATGGGAAAACTCCATTTATGTTGCAGCATCTCACTGTCGAAAACAACAATTTCTACACGTTTATCAGCCCACTTGATTAAGGCAAAGCTGGCTTGAATCAAGCCATACTGCCCGACAAAAGGTAGCTCAATTTGACTATAATAGCGCATGTTGTTGTGGGGACAGAAACCGTTCAGGACAGTGTGACTGTTGAGTGCCAGCTCAGCACATGACGCCTGACTCATCCTCCCTCCTCTGAGTCACTCCCTCCCTCTTCTGGTCCAGGATCTGTGGCTCTCTGCTGGAGCTGGCTCCTCTCTCCTAATGTCAGCCCACCGCTTCACAGGCAGGAAGCCGGCCAACGATGCAGACATGGCTCTGCCGAGGAGGAAGAAGGTGCTTGCATTCGACCGCATGTCTTCTTGTCAAGACAAAAGACTCCGTGTGATGATGGGGAGGCAAGAAGAGGGCAAGAGGAGGGATGTCATGAGGGACTAGACTACAGCTGCTACACACTGCTTCTCTGTTCCAGAAATTCTGTCATGTGTTAAAACAGATTTATCGCAGAAGGCAGATTGGATTCCTTGGAATTAAGTAAAACGGGTCAACATGTGAACTCGAGCACAAGTCAAAATGCGATAACGGGGTATGAGCCATTACCGTTCGCCATTTATCTCCCCCCAACTTCCGTGTTGATTTTACAGCTTTGGGCCAACATCAAAGCAAAAAAAAAAAAAAAAGAAAAAGCCAGTAGTTAAGCTCATTATACAAATGAGCTTTGGGACCTACTGCACACACAGAACAGTGCACATGATCCCAGAAGTTGAAAGGTAAACAACTCTAATAAGGTAGGTAGCGTCTCACCGGTCGCAGAGCTCCACAGGATGCACTTTATGTCCTGTAGCTCATCCAACACATATAAAAGCTGGTATTTTTCAGTTTCATGCATGGCTCTGGGGACGGTAGTGTTTGTTAGTTAGTCAACCATGTTTGTCCAAAAGGTAGAATCTTAAGAACTGGCATTAAACTTTGTCGAGATGTTTAGGGTTCTCAGAGGAGGAAGGATAGCTACTTTGGTGATTCTCTTGACTTTTCACAAAAAATCATTGATGAAGGTAATCTATTGCATGGACTCTACGTTTGTACAGATATGTATGGGTTACAATTCCATGGCTCAGCTCTACTAGATTTATGGCTTTGCTTGATTTTGGTGGGCCCGCAGGATGGTAGCTGGCAGCTAGTTAGGGTGGTTTGGATATCTTATTTAAGTGTCTCCTGGAGGTTTTCCATACACATCCAATTTGTAGACCCCAAGAAAGAAAGACCACATATCCTATTAGGCTTCACTGGGGATCCCCTAAGAGAAGCTAGAAAGTGTTGCTGCAGAGAGCAACCCTTCGCCCGGTAAAAAAAATATCCATGGTAAAATAGATATTCATGATGTGCACAGAATAACAACTAGTATCGGTGGTGACCCTGCACATTTTCATCTAGCAGCACAAACAGGCCAAAATTTTAACTTCACAACTGACAAATCACTACATTAACTCGATCGGCACATTTTACACAAACTATTGGCTGTGTATAAAGATGGACCACCCCTTCTCAACGTCACCCACAGATTTCCTTAACAGTGGTTTTGAAGTTCAGTGCAGTGGCTCTGCCTGCCATTGTCTTGGCACTTAGTGACTCCTCCAAACACCAGGCTTATCCAGAAATGAGAACTGAGTGTGAGTGTAGCTGAGTAGACGGTACCCACCTGACACTCAAAGTGGCCACACCCTTAATTATCTCTAAGTTTAGGCTTAAATTCAATATCAACTAGTGAGTTGTTTCAAGCTGCAAAGTGGCTTGGTGGTTAGCACTGTTGCCTCACAGCAAGAAGGTCACCGGTTCGCATCCCAGTGAGGACACCGGGATCTCACTGCATGTTCTCACCGTGCAGTGTGGGTTCTCTCTGGGTTCTCCTCCCACACAGTCCCAAAACATTTTGAGGTTAATTGGTGATTCTAAATTGTCCGTAGGTGTGAATGTGAGTGTGCTTGGTTGTCTGTCTCTAAGTGTAGTGTTGTGATAGACTGGTGACCTGTCCAGGGTTTCCCCTGCCTTTGCCCTTAGTCGCATAATGTTCTGTCCTCATGATGCCATCTATTTTGTGAAGTGCACCAGTCCCTCCTGCAGCAAGACACCCCCACAACATGATGTTGCCACCCCCGTACTTCACAGTTGGGAAGGTGTTCTAAGGCAAGCAAGCTTCCCCCTTATTTCTACAAATATAACGATGGTCATTATGGC